TGGGGAACCACAGGTCCGTTGTGGGAAGGGCTATATGTGCACTATTTTGATAATTGAGGGGCAACATTTACACCACTCATAATTCAGGGGTGACATTGATAATTGGCATATTATAGATGGACATTTTTTACAATTTTTCAAAGATTATATGAAAATGATAATCATTTAAAATTCATAAGTTTAAAACTCTTTGAAAATTTATACAAGTCTGGATTGAATACCCGATGCACCCCTTAGTCAAGGCGGCGATTGCGGGTTTAACAAATTAATTCAGAGGTGATATATATACTATAACATACACACAAGTGCAGCAGGTCTCATTGTGGAACTTGAATTGATCAGGGATTCAGGGGTAAGAAAGTTATTCTGTAATTTGCATGACATTTAGATGGATATTTTCACTGAAACTTGAGGTTTCCCAAGATGATCTCTATCTGAAAGGATTGATCGAATTACCTTTTTTGCAGGCAACTTCCAGTGATTTTAATTGGGAAATATTACTAGCAGTGTGTAGTTATCATCATCTCATCCCGTTAATTCCGAATGCCGTCAAGGTGTTTGATGTACCGCCTCAGAGACCTGGAAATCAGGCATTATTCAACACTGTGCTGGAGTTCATGTTCAATGAGTTTTTCAGTTTATCTGCTTGCTTCTTTCATTACTTTTATTTTATACTTTTTGGCAGCTAACTAAAATTGATTGAAGAAGTGATCATGATTCATGAGCAGTTTGATTGAAATGTAGGCTTTGCATACAAGTGACCTGTCATGATTGCGTTTACCATGTTGGAAACCACAATCTTACCCAAAGAGCATTAGAAGCTGGCCTCTACCTGTTTGGATTAATTTTTACTTAGATGTGTCAATATCTTTGATAAGGGCATAATTGTCAAATTAAACTGTGGAAATATAAAGAGAACAAATGGATGGTCTAAAATCTAAGTTGTCTTTGGTACTCTAGAATTGCACCTTCCTGCATTTCCTGCTGTCTATTATCCTGGACCGCAAGACTTATTTGCTTTCGTGTTGTCTTTTCTGCTCATTTTCCCATCTAATACTTCTACTAAACAATTAAACATGAACTTTTCTTTCTATTAGTCTTTATTCAATGTTCATTTTACAGTGTATTGTCATACATCACAATGGAAACTGTTACTAATGTTTAAAAGAAGAAAAGAAGAAGGGACACGTGCATTTACATAACTGGAGAAGGTTGATTTCTGAAATTTTCTCAATGGACTTGAAACAGGAAGTCAGGAAAAGTATTACAGTATATGCTCCATATAAATGAATCTTATCTAGCAACTTTCCTTCTCTATCTCAAGTTTTATTGTGTGCAGTGAACCTTACTTTCTATTGCAATGGTGTACACTCCGTTTTACTTTCTTCTCTTTGTGCTTCTCTTTCCATTTCAAAGTTTTGCTCAAAACAATAGTCCTATAACTGTTGGCAGCACTCTTACTGCCACAGATAGCACAAAACCATGGCTCTCACCCTCTGGTGATTTCGCATTTGGATTCTCACAAATTCAAGGCAAAAACCAGTTCTTGCTTTGCATATGGTACGCCAACATAAATGAGCGTACCATAGTTTGGCATGCAAATACAGCTTCTCCGGTGCGACAAGGATCAACTCTGCGGCTGGATGTTGATTCTGGGCTAATTCTCAGTGATCCTCAGGGCAACAAATTGTGGACACCTGATGTCTTAAGTGAAGTAGTTGATCATGGTTTTCTGAATGATACAGGAAACTTTGTCCTTGTGGGAAGTGATTCTACAGTGCTGTGGGATACATTTGCACATCCCACTGATACTTTGTTGCCAACCCAGGAGATGGAGATTGGCACCATGCTCATCTCTCGACGCTCTGAAGCCAACTTTTCACTTGGTAGGTTCTATCTTCGGATGCCTGATGATGGGAATTTGGTGCTGTCATCAAAAATGGTTCCAACCAATTCAGACTATGATGCTGATTACTACAATAGTCAGACTTCTGATCCTTCAAATCCGACAAATTCTGGCTATAAAGTGATATTTAGTGAGAAGGGTTCAGTTTCTATACTAAGAGGGAACAACGCAACACAAGAGCTTACTCCAAAGTCTGTCTCATCAGTTACGGAAAATTATCTGAGACTGACTCTAAACTTTGATGGAGTGCTCACTCTGTATCGGTATCCCAAGGGTTCTGCTGGTAACCAATCTTGGATTCCTCTATGGTCTCAGCCGGATAATATTTGTACCAGCATTACTGGCGATATAGGCAGTGGAGCTTGTGGGTACAACAGTGTGTGCTCAATTGATGAGAACCAGAGACCCTCTTGTAAATGCCCTCGGGGTTATTCACTGCTTGATTCAAGTGACCAATATGGAAGCTGCCAACCAAATTATGTTCAGACTTGTGGGAAACCTGCGAATGGTTCATCTGAAGAGCTGTTTAGTTTAATTGAGATAATAGACACATATTGGCCGCTGTCGGACTTTGAGCAGATCAATCCTTCCAACAAAGATGACTGCAGAACAGCTTGTTTGAATGATTGTTTGTGTGCTGTTGCAATTTTCAGAAGCAATAGCTGTTGGAAGAAGAAGTTGCCACTGTGAAATGGGCACATTGACAATAGTCTAGATGCAACGGCTTTCCTAAAAGTTGGGAAAGGTGATGCTCCTCCTTTGAGTCCTGATCCGTGGAGAGAATTTCCAGAGAGGAAGAAAGATCAAGGAAATTTGATCCTTGCGGGTTCAGTGCTCTTGGGAAGCTCTGTATTTGTAAATGTTCTACTCCTTACTGCACTTCTTTTTGGATTCTTCTTCATTTACAAGAAGAAAATCAAGGCATTTGCCCCTACTAATCTTTCTGTGCCATCAAATCTGCAATACTTTTCATATCAATGTCTTGCAGAAGCTACAAACCAGTTTAAGGAAGAAATAGGCAGAGGTGGTTTTGGAATTGTGTATAAAGGGGAAATGCCAGTGGGTTCCGGAAACATTGTTGCTGTGAAGAAGTTAGATCGGGTAGCTCATGATACAGACAAGGAGTTCAAGACGGAAGTAAATGTGATTGGCCAAACACATCACAAAAATTTGGTCAGGCTGCTCGGGTACTGTGATGAGGGGCAACATCGGATGCTGGTTTATGAGTACATGCCAAATGGCACTCTAGCGACTTTCCTTTTCAATGACCTGAAGCCCAGTTGGAGCCAGAGGACCAAAATTGCCTTGGGGATTGCTCATGGCCTCACCTACTTACATGAAGAATGCAGCACTCAGATCATTCACTGTGATATAAAGCCTCAGAATATACTTCTTGATGATTACTATGCTGCTCGGATCTCAGATTTTGGATTGGCAAAACTTTTAATGATGAACCAGAGCCGGACATATACTAATATTAGGGGAACAAAAGGCTATGTTGCTCCCGAGTGGTTCAGAAACCACCAAGTCACGGTGAAGGTTGATGTTTACAGCTTTGGAGTGTTGCTGATGGAAATCATAGCATGCCGGAGAAGCCTGGAGGACGAAGAAATATGTGGAGCAGATAAAGCTGTTCTTGCTGATTGGTTCACGGACTGTTTTCATGAGAATAGATTGGAGTTATTAGTTGAAGATGACGCAGAGGCCTTGTGTGATATGGAGACGCTGAAACGATTTGTAATGACTACGATCTGGTGCATTCAAGAAGATGCTTCTCTGAGGCCAACAATGAAGAGGGTCAGCCAAATGCTTGAAGGTGCAGTTGAAGTTCTTGTGCCTCCAGTTCCTTATCAAACCAGTATCACTACCTAGAGTCTTTTATTGCCTTCCTATATTCATAAATGAGTTAATACTCAATATAGTCCTCGACTATAGTGTTTTTACTCAGTTTAGTCATAAATAACTTTTGTGCTCAATTTAGTCATCGACTTTGATGATTTTACACAATTTAGTCTTTTGTTAAAACTTCTGTTAGTTGACCCTAGAAATAGGGTCCTAATAGTAATTTCTCATGTTTCATCTCATTTGGGATGATTCCTTCTTCGTGCCCTTATTAAGATCCACACAGAAATGCAAATCTTCGTACCCAAATCAATTTCAACCCACGCAAAAATAAATATTTGCCTAACCTTCCTTCCTTTAAGGGGTTGAAGTTGATTTGGATACGAAGATTTGCATTTCTGCGTCGATCTTAATAATGAGAAGAAGAATGAATTATCCCAAATGGGATGAAGGATGAGAAATTACTATTAGAACTTCATTTCTAACCGTCAACTAACAGAATTTTTAACAAAGGACTAAATTGTGTAAAATCATCAAAGTTGAAGACAAACACAAAAAGCCATTTAGAACTAAATTAAGTTAAAGCCACTAGAATCAAGAACTATTATGGGTATTAACTCTTCATAAACCAATGCCACTCTGATTGTCTATTCTCTTCTTTAGGCATTTCACTTGCTGCTAAATTGTAGTAATTTCCCATAGATTGCATAAAAATGTATTCATAGAATATAATTTCATAAAATCATTGTCAAATCCAAATGCTCAAACAATACTACTTTTTTTTTTTTTTAAATAATTTTCTACATGCTTTTTTGGTACCTGCATTCCGCAAATAAGATTAACAAAGATGACCCAGAAATAGAAGAGTTGCGGAAATGGAATAATTGTCGTATTGGAGAAGTATTTGTGATATTGTATTGCCAAAGACTTTGTGATTGAGCAGAATAACTGTGACTTTCTCCAATACGAGGTTACAGGTTTGAACCCGATGAGGGTACCAAAAAATAATACTCAAATTTGAAAAATTAGCATTTGTGATTCTTTTAAAATAGTACTCAAATTTGAAAAATTAGCATATGTGATTCTTTTAATACGTGATTTTAAATCAAACATTTTTCAATCTGCATATCTATTCTTATGGAGTCTATCCTATTACATAAACCACCATAGTACACATCCAAACCTCCATCTTTTGTCTCAACTATTGCCCTGATAGAGACGCAATAAATACGCTGACTACATAAAGATCGATTCATTTGTATGGGTATGGGGGTTTATGAACTTGAGCAACTCCTTCAAGCATTTGTGTGACACTCCTCATTGTTGGCCTCAAGCCTGTCTCTTCTTGAATGCACCAAATTGCTACCATTACAAACCTTTCCACCACCTTCATATCATTCAAGGCCTCTGCATCATTCCCCACTAATAAATCCAATCTTCTATCTTCAAAGCAATCTGTAACCCACTCAGTAAGAACAGCTTTTTCTGCTCCACATTTTTCAGGTTCCTCCAGGCTCCTCCGGCACGATACAAGTTCCATTAACAACACCCCGAAGCTGTAAACATCTACTTTCACCGTGACTTGACTGTTCCTGAACCATTCGGGAGCAACGTAGCCTTTCGTCCCCCTAATGTTGGTGTTCGTTCGGCTCTGGTTCATCTTCAGAAGTTTTGCCAACCCGAAATCTGAAATCCGGGCACTGTAGCAATCGTCAAGAAGTATGTTCTGAGGCTTTATATCGCAATGAATGATCTGAGTGGGACATTCTTCGTGCAGGTAAGCGAGGCCCCTAGCGACCCCTAGGGCGATTTTGATCCTCTGGCTCCAACTAGGCTTTAGATCATTGAAAAGGAATTCTGCAAGATTGCCATTGCACATGAACTCATAAACTAAGAGCCTATGTTTCCCCTCGTTACAAAACCCGAGAAGACGGACTAAATTTTTGTGATGCGTTAGGCCAATCGCAGCTACCTCAGTCTGGAACTCTTTATCTGCATCATGAACTACACTATCCAATTTCTTCACAGCAACAATAATGGCCTTAGAATCCATTTGAACTGACCCTTTGTACACAATGCCAAAAGAACCCCTACCAAGTTCTTGATTGAACCCTTCTGTGGCTTCTTCCAGCTCTTTGTATGAGAAACTAAGCAAATTTGATTCTCCGGAATGATTATTCGAGAGAAACGTCTTCATTTTCTTCCTGTAAACAAAGAAGAATCCCAAGAAGCCTACAATAATGAATAGAAAATTGGCAGACAAGGAACTAGCCAAGAGGGCAATCAAAGATATCTGATGTTTTTGCCTTTCTGGGATTTCATTGTTTGAGGCATTTGGATTAGGAGGAGGAATATTATTATCACCCTTGCTTACTTTGAGGTAAACTGTTGTACCCAGACTGGTGTCCACTCGCCCATTCGAGAGCGGTAGCTTCTTTTTCCAGCAAGTAATGTTTCTGTAAATAGCACAACCACAGAAACAATCATTCAAACAAGCCTTTTGACAGTCTTCTTTAGTGGAAGGACTAATCGCTTCGAAATCAGATTTTGGCCAATCCACATCAGGTAGCTCAACAAAGCTATAGAGATTTTCGGGTGAACCCTCACAAGTCTGGACAAAATTTGGCTTGCAGCTACCATACTTATCACTTGGATCGAGCAGCGAATATCCTTGTGGGCATTGACAAGATGGTCTCTTGTAAGCATCAAGTGAGCAGACACTGTTCAGCCCACAAGCTCCAGTGCCTAAAAACCCATCAATTTCGATACAAATATTATCCGGCACAGACCAAAGAGATGTCCAGGTTTGGCTCCCAGAAGAATTCCTGGGATACCTATAAAGAGTGAGCACTCCATCAAAGTCAAGAGTCACTCTAAGATAATTCTCTGAAGCCGAGGGGATCGAGGGTGGCGAAAGCTGTGCTGTTTCGTTGTTTCTCTTCAGAACATACAGTGACCCCTTATCATCAAATATCACTCGAAACCCGGAATTTGATTCATTTGCAGGATCAGAGGTGAGACTGGTAAAGTAGTCATCATCATAGTCTGTATTTGCAGGAACACTTTTGGTTGAAAGTACCAAATTCCCATCGTCAAGCATCCGAAGATAGAACCTCCCTTGAGAGAAATTCCCACCAGAGGCTCTAGAGATAAGCATGCTACCAATCTCCAAGATCTGGGTAGGCAATAAAGTGTCTGTTGGATCCCCAAAGCTATCCCACAACATGGTTGAATTGCTGCTGGCAAGGACAAAGTTTCCTTCATCGCTCAGGTAAGCATAGAGAACTTTATCCACAATGCCATTAGTGATCCATAGCCTTTCGCCTTGAGGGCTGCGGAGATCCAGCCCGAGTTGAGCGCTTAGCTGCAATGTTGATCCGGGTGGCACCGGAGAAGTGGTGTTTGCATGCCAAACAATGGTGGGCTCAATGATCTTGGCGTACCAAATGCAAAGCAAGAAATGATTTGTGGGTTGAAGTTGTTGGAATCCAAATGCAAAATCGCCAGAAAGTGAGTGCCATGGGTAGGTACCATTAGTTGCAGTAAGAGTGCTGCCAAGAGGAATAGTCCCTCTGCCTTGAGCGTAACTGTGGAATGGAAGGTGAAGTGCAAAGAGCAGAAGACAAAATGCATACAATGCCATTCTTAGAGCAAGTACTATGGAGGGGAATGAAATTAGCCTCATTTATAAAGCCATCTCTATTCTATGCCATGTAATAATACCCTCTATTTCTAAGAAAACGCCAACATCCTCTCCATACTCGCACGGGCTTAACTCAATGGTTTAGTGGGCAATATTTACGGTAAGAGACCAAGGTTCGAACCACCGACAGATTCCTTGTGCGCACCGGCATTTGGCCCTGCTACTAACCCATTGAGTCACCGTGATTACATGCCTGCACTAGCAGCTCAGGTTTTTTTTTTTTTTTTTTTTTTTTTTTTTTGAAAGGGACTAGCAACTCAGTTGATTCTTGAGTAGTAAATTATGGGCAAGAATACATGAATGAGTCATGATAATCGTAGTGTAAAAGTTACATATAATGTGTTGGACTCTTTGTGAACACTAGACCAATCGTTATACCCTACACCACAACGCACATAGCATTGTGCGTCGCGCGCCTCCCAAAACGACGTCGTTTTGGGAGGCGCGGTAGAAAGTTGCTGGGATTATGTGTATTTGTTCACAAAGTTATGTGTATTGGTTCATACAGTTATGTGTATTGATTCATACAGTTATGTACATTTTTTATACAATTATATACATTCTTTTTATACAATTATGTACATCCGAATCAGAAAATTTGTGTGTATTATGTTAATAGTTGATGTGTATTATGTTAAAAGTTTATGTTTATTATGTATTATGTTAGATTATGTGTATTATTTTTTAAAAAGAGTATGTATATTTTGTTATATAATTATGTACATTCATCTATACAATTATGTGTATTCTAGTATAACATTATGTACATTCTTGAACAGCGGGTTTTTTTTATAGAAAAAACTACTGCCATTCATTGGGGCGGGAAATTTAAAAAAAAAAAAAAAATTAAAACAACGTCGTTTTGCATCTGGGCGCATAGTGCAACGCGCACCGTGGTGTAGGATATAAATTGCGAACACTAGACACTGGTCTTCCCATCTAATGGCTGTTGGTTTATCCTGACTTGTCCATTTACTATCTTGTGAGGTCCTGGAGCAAGAGAATTTTGCCAATCATTGGCCCGCACAGGCTTAGAGACCATTGTTTGGAACTCGGCAGCAGGAGTGTGGGATTATTATGCCTAAAGAGACCAATGTTTGGAACTCGACAGTCGGAGTGTGGGATTATGCTCAAATTAAAGTAGGCAGATCCCTTTGTGCACACTAATATTTAGCTGTCTGCTAGCCACAGAATTAATTACTATGATTTATATTATCCCAAATGTTTTGTTGTGGGTATGGGGACTCTTACAGGGCGTTAGCGCAATTCCATGGGAGATAAATTACTGGAAATAAAGCGCAATTCCATGGGAGATGAATTACTGAAAATAAAGTGGAAATTTAAATTCTAGTGTTTGGTTAACAGGAATATAATTACTGGGAATTTCAATTACAATGTTTTGTATATATGGGAATTGAAAGGGAATAAGTAATATAAAGTCCAAAATATCTATTGTTGTTGTCAGGTATTAAATTTTAGGTTAAAAAGGGAGGGGTAATTTTGACTCATCACTATCTTTTTTTCTTCCTAAAATTTCATGTCGGGAGACATGGGATTTTAATTCCATGAAAATAGGAAAATTGCAATTCCTTTCAACCAAACAAGAGAATTTTGTGACCTTTGAAATTAGGTGGGATTTAAGTGGAAAGGGAATTTAAATTCCCTTAAACTAAACGCCTTGTCAGAGTTGGAGATTCAACCAATTGGGTGAAAGAATACAAACCTTCCATAATGATAACTCCAATGAGGTACAACCAAGCCTGTGAACACATTACTACAACGACATTGTTTTCTGGGCATGGTGTTAATGTCATTGTTAGTATCGATTTGATTCAACATTGATTTTCTTTTATACAAAAGCATAATTTGGCAAATTATATCATGCACCACGGTGCATGATCAATTATGCACCGCGCATCTTTTTTTTTAAATGAAAATAAACAGTATTTGTTTTTCGCTGTTTCATACCCTTTTGCAAAAAGTAACTCTGTTCTTCAGTGTCATTTTGTATACACTGCAGTGTCAGTTCAACACAACTACAGTTTCATTTTGATATAACTATAGTTTCATTCGATATTTATAGATTCAAATATGTGAAAATGTTATTTAATTTTATTTTATATACACTATAGTTTCATTAAAACACAACTACATGATCATTTTAATATAATTACAGCTTCATTGTACAATATACACTCAAATATGTGAAATGTTATTCAGTTTCATTTTATATACACTGCAGTTTCATTTCACTATAAGTATAGTATCATTTTGATATAACTGCAGTATCGATTTAGATATACTGTAGTGTCAGTTGGTGTTTAATACACCAAACAAGCGGACTCCGTTAACTATAATGGCGGGCCGTTTCTTTACTTAAAGAAACGACGTCGTTTTTGACCGCGGTGCACCGCGGTCTATGATATAACGACGGGCATAATTTAGATACAATTTGGACCCATGCATGATAGCTTTCAAGAGCAATAAAAACAGCAATCAGAATGATACAATTAAACAATATTTAAGATTGACAACATAGGTTTCAAAAAAGCTATAACAAGAAACAGAAATAACTCCAAATACGTAGGCCAACATTATTAGGATTGAGAATGGAACATATCCAGAGATTTCAAAGAGTTGGGAGTATACGGCAAGTAGATTAGACGTTTATTTGTTTGGATTTTCTTCTTGGAAATCCCAAAACAACAAACACGAATTGATAAGTTATTTGCTTAAAACAATTCTACATTATTGACTATGTCAATTTCCACAGCTCAAACGGTTCAAATGAGATGAAATTATGTCATATATTTGAGGTAGGGGTGCTTCGGGATTCGGTTCAGGTTTTTTTCCGGTTTTGATTTTGGTATTTCAGTATTAAGATACCATTCGATTTAACATTATAGTTCAGTTTTAAAAAGTTTGATTTCGATTCGGAATTAGTTCGGTTCATTTTAAGAACTCTAATTTTCAACATTTTCTAATTTTTCAAATAATACTACATATTCACATAATCCAAATCTATGTCTAAACATTATATAACAAAATAGCAACCCAAAGTTCAAACACACTACTAATTAAGTACTAATTACCAAATATCAGTTGATTTTATTGCTCAACCGACTCTTCAGTTGGATCACTTAGAATGTTTTGTTGACAAGATACAAAATCATCTATATCTATAGTTAATATTTGGAGAACAAGTGTCAAATACTGTATAGTTAATTTTTAAACACAATCCGTCATTGCTTGGCAAAATATATTTCCGGTGCACTGAAAATATATTCCAGTACTAGAAAATAATTAGAAAATAATATTCCAGCCCACTGGAAAATATATTTTCAAGCACAGGAAATCAAAACTAGAATAATGTTGAAGCACATTAATTTCATAGAAACATGAAACTAAGGAAATATTGACTATTGTAAGAATAACACAAGTTAGAAATAATTGTGAGGTAAAAGACCAATTGCAGCAAACAGTAAAACTGCAAAGTAGAGAACAAGCGAAATCAAATAAAAAATTTAAGAGAGATACCAGTGAGGATATGAGTAGAACGACGGAGGAGGTAGCAAGAGACTTGGATTTACTTCTTTTATTATTATTATTATTATTATTATTATTATTATTATTATTATTATTATTATTATTATTATTATTATTATTATTCATTTATTTTTTAAAAAAAAAAAAACAAAGGATATTCGGTTCGATATAGTTTTTTACTGAACCGTTCGGTATACAAGAATCCATTACCGTTCGATTGTTTGGTATATTACTGAACCGAACTACAATTTGGTTCAGTTCGAAAAATGCAACGATTCTAAAACTGGTTCAGAAAACCTAACGGTTCGGAAATCCCAAACTGAATTGCCCACCCCTAATTTGAGGTATTGTATCTCAAATTTTTGTTCCTACAACATTATTTCAGTTTCATTAGTACAATATACTCTTTAGTTCAGTACTACATACTCTTTCTTTTTCTTTTTTTCTTTTCTAAAAACAAGGAAATTTATAATTCATATCAAATTTCAACACATCAAGGAGATATATAATTAAACAGCCGGAATGAAAAACCATTGAATACAGCCTGCTTTAGAAACAACTTCCTTAGCTAATAAATGGAGAATTGTATTAGCACGTCGCTTAGCAAATACTAGTAAAGTCTAATGCTAATTTTTTAATATCAATGATGAGTGTTAGGAATATAGCGGAATAATGCGGAAACGAAAAATTGAAAATTGAGAATTATAGAAGTTAAATAATAGGGAAAATATAAAATGACAAAATTAGGAAATTGATGAATTGGAAAAATATAAAAAAATATATATATTAATCTCTCCAAAAGAGAATACAAGAAAATATATATATATATATATATATATATATATATATATATATATATATATATATATATACATACTCTACGTAATAAAAAGAAGAAAAAGTAATGAATGAATTCAATGAATTGATGATATTACAAGACAAGAGTTTAGCCTATTTATACATTCAAAAAAGGAAAAATAAGTGGCATTAACATTGAGGACGTGTGGAGAATGGAGGATGTGCGCATGCAGAACGTGAAACATGGAGAATGGCGCCAAGTGTGTAGTCTTGCTAAAGAATTTGAGCCACAATTCTAACAATCTACACCTTGGATCAAATGTATTGTGGAAATTAACAATTGGAACAACCAATTAAACTCAAGCACTGCTTGAACTTAGCAATAGGAAGAACCTCAGAATAACATGATGGATCACCATCAACTTCTTATGCGACTGAAAGAGCATAAGCAACCATGTTTGTTTCATCATCACTAGCATACCTAGTATGTTTTTTAATTGTCCTCCTAGGACGATCCATAGCAATGGAATACTCTCGTTGTGGCTCGACGAGAGGTGCGGTACTTGTAGATGCATCATCTTTAGTTTTACCATTAG